ACCGTACAGTAGATCATCGTCCCGACGAGAATCCAGCCGATAAGCAAAGCCGCCGGTCCTCCAGTTCTAAGAGCAGAACCACTTCCGACAAACAAACCCGTACCAATAGCACCACCAATGGCGATCATCTGTAAGTGACGGGACTTCAAGGATTGACTCAACGGAGATTTGGCGGTGGCAGCAACCGCCCTTTCCAAATCAGTCATGCCTGCGTATGATGGTTCATTAGTGTCCATCCTCCCGAAGGAATCTTTGAAGTTGCTCCATTTGGAAGGGGAGGAAGCAGTGTAGTGTGGGTCATTAGAGGATGAAGCATCGAAGTCTACTGCTGAAGCTGTGATATTTACTCCGTTCAGTTTTTCTGTGTGAATATTTGTACTCATTGTGAATTTTGGTATTTATGTGATAAGGTAGCAATAGACGTAGAGCCAAAAGAAAACGGTTACAGTCTTTCTTTTATAGGTCCGAACAACGGGAATAGGTGATGTAAAAGGCCCATTCTATCATAAACCCCATGAAGTTTAATCTCAAATAAGTTTCCCCGCATTTTTAAATCCTGGAGTTTCGGCAAATTTGATTGCTGGGATAACCATCCGAGGTTTGTTTAGAACAAAAGAGAGGGACTGGAAAATAATGGGCTACAGCAGTTGCATATGCACAGTTTGTCACAAATGACCAGGCGCAATGAGATAAGTGTACACGTAGTAGTCACACACGGCGTTTGCTGAAGCTTAAGGAGTTACAGGTTGTATTTCATTTTTTATTTTTTTTTACTAACTCACTACGTGAAACAGCGGAGAATAATTTCCCGGGAGGGGTAATGTATATCGTCGGCAACGAAGAGTTTGCATGCAAGAGCCTACGTGTACACCAATGTCAGCTTAAAGTGGGTAAACACCATGGTCTCAGGATACTATTTGATACGAGAGATAACACAATTGCAACGTAATAATTGGCGCAGCCAATGTTACTATTGTCGCAGGGTTCCGTGGTTCCGGTTAGGTCTATTACACCTCGCGCACGCTTTCCTGCCGCCGCATTCTTCAGTAAAACGCCGTAAGTATCTTCTCAGAATCTTGGCACGGCGGCTTAACTGTCACCGGAGACTCCAGGTGGCCTCATTTTTTATCGGACGCAGTAGCCATATTCTTCCCATGTTGAATCATAACCGGCTAACAGCGGAAAGTTTATATAATAGTTGGCTGAGGGGTGTTAGTTTAGGTCAATACCCATGTAGATGAGGGGTTTTAGTTTAGGTCTATACCCATGTAGCTGAAGGGCAACGTGGTACCAGACTTACAACTTTATCTAGATCTGTCTGCCTATACGCGTTAAGAATCCGAGCAAGATCCTATCCGCCAAATAGACAACGTATACTAGCTGGATATTTATACTAGGCAGGCAACCACTAATTGTATACCTTACCTGAGTCAAAAGTGCGAGCTCTCAAAGTCAATAAAAAATGGAAATGGACAGATGTCCGTATAGTTTTACACGGGGGAGTAGCGGCCAAACCTGCATGAACGAGCGTTGTAACCCCCACTGTGAGACGCGGGGGACTCCTTGGAAAGTACCTATTCAGTGAATAGAAATTGAAAGATGGTGAGCAGAAAAGTTTCCGCCAAACAGCTCTAGATCCTTAGTAAGCTGTCAAAGAGATTCATACCAAAAGATAAGCCAATCCTAGGACGGTATTAGTGTGCGATGTCCGCGGAATTTCAAACCCCGCCCCCACGCTTAGATGCACCCTGCAGATCCCCCGCTACATCGGAACCTGACCTATTAAGTAATCGAGCATGATCATGCATACCCAGAACTCCCGCCCGCGGCACCGTATACTTCGAAGCCAAGCTTGGAAAGGGCATGTAACGCTATGGGAAAAGTCTGGAATTGCTCATTTGGACCTTTGAGTCAGGGCGTACTTCGTTTGACTCCAGAGAGAAAGCTACAAGGACGAAACCGCCGAGATTTAAAGTACCCCATCAGGAATATAACTGAGTCGGTGCAGTCGTAATGGCCTTAAGAATGGGTTGAAGAAGACCGTGTTAAGGCTATGTGTACAGTATACGCGAAGAACGTTCTCAGCATGACGTCAACACGGTATATGTCTGGGCTCGGCCAAGTAATTTATTGCCTGACTGTAAAATTTGCATATGGCAAATGGTCAAATTCTCCTTCATCCTGCCTTCTATTAAATTTCATCCTCAATAAATGACGTTGGTACGGCACTTAAAATGTACCATTTCCCCGCGTACACTTCGTGCGCCATGACCAAGATCAACCAACTAGTATTGCTTAAATTTCTAATGTATATTGTTCAGATTAACATGATGTGTCGAAGCGGAATTGGTAATGATGACTCCTTTTAACAGAGACGGATGGCACAAACACGATACTGCTCAACACCAGTAGCGATACCAGCGGTACCACCAGGGCCTGCTGGAAATATAACACGCCTCTTCCGCAATCTCTTGCTTCAACACCTCCAAGTCCAAGTCCCGTCTCCCTGAGTCAATATCAATGTCTTCCAACTTGACATACAAGATCCAGTTCTTCTTATATATCTTATGGCCCACATATAACGCCAACACAATCGGAAGGGCAATGTATCCCTTGAAGAACGTGGCCGGCAGCGGTTTCGACCCCAAGGGAAACAAGGCTACCCAAAACTGTGCGATAAGTGTCACGAGGTTCATAATAACCCCCCACGCCGATCCCCAGACCGTAGCTTGAGATTTGAATGGCAACTCATCGGTACTCCGATTGTTGTACCTCAATGCCTGTCTAAACCGGAGATGGCATAAGCAAATCGACATCCACGTGAATGTGGCGGCGAGACCAGCTAACCCCATTAGCCAGGAAAATACCTCTGCCTCCTTGTCGGAAGCGGAGACGAAGCAGAGAAGGCCGAAAACCGCGCCAATTCCAATCGCCACGAGAGGTCTGCCGCTTCTGTCGAGATATCCAACTTGTTTAGGAAGCATTCCCTGGTTCGCCAACGCTGCTAGCGTACGAGAAGATCCGTACATGGCTGAGTTTCCCACGGAAACAACAGCTATCATGATCACTGCATTCATCACCGAAGGCAACCCCTTGATGCCTCCATTTTTGATCGCAATAACAAAAGGAGATGCGGTTGCATCGACGTCAGAAGAGCCAATCAAGCGGGGGTCATCGTAGCCCACTAAGAGCCCGATAAGGGTAAGGCAAACGATGTAGAACAATGTGATTCTCCAGAAAACCTGTTTAATAGCGGAAGGTAAAGACTTCCTCGGGTTTTCCGTTTCGGCTGCGGCTAAACCTGCCATTTCCGTGCCGGTAAAGGAAAATGCCGCGGTAACGAAAACGGAACAAACACCCTTGAATCCATGAGCAAAGGCCCCGGGGGTGTGCCAAAACTTGCCCCCGATGTAGCCGCCTTGAGGCCCGCCGCCACAATTCAAAATAATTCCGAGGAAGATGAACCCAATCACGGCTATGACCTTAATAGAGGAAAAGATAAATTCTGACTCACCGTAGCCCCTTACACCACACAAGTTGAGAAAAAGAACCAACGCATAAAACAAACACACGAAAGCAGCAGGGTTGACCGTTGATTGCCAGTATCGGATCGTTATGGAGGCTGCTACAAGTTCCAAGGGTAAGGTACACAACCAGTTGAGGGCATAGAGACTACCCACCGCAAACCCCCAAGAAGGGTCTAAAAACCGCGTGATATAGGACGAAAAGGCACCAGCAACAGGGAAAGCCACGGCTAATTCTCCCAAGGCATGAACCGTACAGTAGATCATCGTCCCGACGAGAATCCAGCCGATAAGCAAAGCCGCCGGTCCTCCAGTTCTAAGAGCAGAACCACT